TTGTTGGAGGGCACGGGAGCGACGGGAGCTCCCTCGACCGCCGAGATGCTGAGGTAATGCCGAACGAGAGCGGTGGACGCAAACAAATGAATCGTAGCTGCAGGCTGGAGTAATATCAGGTGCATCTCTACACCCCGAGGGCTCAACTCCTACACGCTCAGGTCCCTCCCCTGGAACAGCCTCCTGCAGTTTCACTCAGGGCTGAGGCAGAGAACAGGTACTGCTCTCCCAGCAGTGACAGCCACACTCACCACCCGCGCTGAGCCGCAGCTGTCGGACACCCAGTGCCCGGTGAGTACACTGCTTTACAGCACTTCTTCAAGAAAGTCTCTGGAGAGTCCCCTCCGAGAGGTAAATCCAAGCTGCTCAGCTCCCAGCTGTCCCAGCAGCAGGGCTTACTCCAGCAGGTGCACTCACAGCACCACTTTCAGCTTTCAGCTGAAAGTTTCAACAGGAGAGGGAAATATTTTAGTCTGAGAGAAGAAAAAGAAAATTATCTAACTCGTGCAAGTTGGTACAATAATTAGTTCTTGTGGGTGCAAAGGGGTTTAAGCACTTTTTTTTCCATACAGGGAGTTAGTGTGTTATATTGAAGCATGACAGAAAGCCTTATTGCTTAAATGTGCTGTTTGCTCTGCCAGCTCTGCCTCATACGGTCGCGTCGGGTTCATCTGCAAAGCTTGTCTGAAAATAAGGTGCTCCAGCTTTGATTTAGTCATTTTTTTCCCAGCTTCTGGAAATTTAGCAGGAAATTGGATTGTCTTCTCTTTTCTAGTCAATTACAGTGTATGAAGACATTGATTTTTTTTTAACCTAACATGTACAAAGATTTTTATTTCTATCCACGCTGCCTGAGCAACTCCTTTACTTTCTGTTTCGGTGCTTCCTCCCGCGCTCACGGACACACGCGCACGGAGTCCCTGTCGGTCCATACCTTCCACACTCTCTTCCCAGCCCACTCCTCTCCCCCATATTTCCTCCAAATTAACAAACAGTTGCCTTTAAATTTCTCTCTCAGTTTCAAGGACCTGGAAGTTTAGAAGGGAGGGGTTGGTTAATGGCTGGAAAAATCTCAGCTAGAATAAAACTCACAAATCTTGTTCTTGCAACACCCTGGGTAGGTGACAATGGCATGTCCTTGGGTTATGCAATAATGCCACATCACAATATTTTAATTATAGCATGTCCTTCAAAATGTTCCACCCCAGTGAGTCCTCCTGGTCAGAGAGATCCACATCACCAGAAGGAGACTGCAGTAATAATGGGGTGGGCACGACCAGCTGTTACGTACTTTGCTGAAGCTGTGTCCTAAAAAGAAATGTAATTACTGTCCCTGCTTGTAATAAAAGACATTTTGAAATGTCTTCTTTGATCAACTGGGCACCTTCAACAATTTAGACAACTTAAAACCCCCTAAACCAACGTGCAGAGATACAGACATACATATCTATGTGTGTGTATGGATACCCATGCGAATATCTGTGCACACACTTAGCCCCACGGAGGTTTTTTTTTATGTATTTACACACACACAATGTCCAACGACTTTTCTGTTTGCTGAACTTGCCAACAGGTTACAGGCAGGGAGGGAGCAACAACCTGCTTTTCAAAACAGGAGGAAGAAAATGTGGAGCCATCAGTCTCAGGCTGAGAAGGGCTCTGGGTTAGAAAGCCACGGGGAGGTTACTATGGACAAACACAAACAACTAACACAACCTCAGGTTTAACCAGTGTTATCTGAACAACCTGTTTTCAATAAATACAGCAATTATGGATCAATTAGATATAAATATATAAAATTCCTTTAAAGCTATTTTATATAAAACTACATTTCTAAACTAGAAAATTATAATGGTATAGAACCACCTGCATTTCTACAGGAAACAAATTCTCAGACTTAAAAAAAAAAAGTTATATAAAACCCATCATCCTGGTATTGAAGATTTTTCCCCCCACTTTTAAAGGATATCACGAGTGATGGCACTGAAGTTTAAGGAAAAAGCAATGAGGTATTTTGATTTTCCCTTTTAATACTAAAACCTAACTTTGGTAGCACAAACCATCGTACAACTGGAAGGACCACGATTTATATAAGGACAGTTTTAATTGCTTGCAACTATTTGAAACCATTAATGTCCTTCCTGGCTGCATTTGTGTGATCAAATAATTTTATCTCTTCTTAATTATGAAACATGTCCCTCTGCCAGACACTTCTGTGTTTTACTTAGAGACTGGAAGAGAAATGATCCTTCTTGTCTGGCTTTAGAAATCTTTTATTTCTGGCATTTTTAAACCATGAGAAAGGAAAGGATGAACTATTCACGGAGAGAATATTCACCTGGCTGGCACTGACCTACGTTTAGGAAAGGGTAAACACCCTTTCAAATGAGCTGCTCACTCTGCACCTCCCAAGTCAGAGCAGCAGGTTCTGGGAGCCATCAAAACACATGAAACAAAAAGAAGGGAAAAGCTATTGGAATGTTCTCCTGTTCTCCCCATGGCAAAGGAGCTCCGAGGCTCGAAATTTCTACCAGTAGAGCTGCAGTGAGGTATTTTATCTCGTTAAGAAACGATAGTTAATACTCTGCCCAACAGGAATAACTTGAATCAAAGTTAAATACGGAGTACAAAGTCGGAGGGGGGAGGACAGGACACACAGGAATTTTCATTATGGAGCAAAGGAAAGCTGGCAGAACAAGGAAATCTAATTACCATCCCTTTATTATAAGTGCTGCACCTGAATGCAGATTGGGACCTTATCATAAATGGCTCCACTAAGAAAGCAATGCACTTTTGACAACAATATCTTTTTTTTTTCCCCAACAATAATTAGTACAAGCAATTCCAAGAAGATACAAAGAATAACAGGCACAAACTGACTCCACTGAGTCCCTTACAAACTTTCCATGTTAGTTAGACATCACTAGACAAAAATAAATCTAACAACTCACTTCAGGCAGAAAAAAATCCCCTCAGTTCCTTATCTGGACCTGCCCTCCTACTCCTCAGCACTTCACTTATTTATTTCTAGTATAAAAGCAATATTCTTAGTCTTTCAGAGGAATTCTGGATATCATTAGTTAAAATATTTTAAATATTATCTGATTTTTCTAAGAAATATATTAACTGCTGTTTGAACCAAACTCCAATAAGACTTGAACACGCTGCTCTATTTTTGCTGCTGTCACAGGATCATTACCCAACTCAAACAACCAAAAAAAGCTTTGTTAAAACCTGAAAAACAAAAAGCTATGTCTCCAGAAATTCCTTTCTCTTTAACCTGAAGCACATGTAATCATTTGTTCATGTTAGGAAAAAAAAAAACCCGATTTTTTTTCCTACTTAGAGAGCAGCTTTGCATTTTCCAGGGTGCCTTATCTGAACAACATTACTATTTCTCTGACATCAGAAACAACATCAATACAATTTGCTAGGATTACAATACCTGACGAAACAAGCAGCAATTCTGTAGCTTTGCCTCCAGTTTTCATCACGTGTTGCCTGTCATTTGCTAGGAAATAATCTCTGATTTAAGCAATGCAAAATGTCTCTACTTTAACCAAAATCTCACAGCACCTAATGACCTGCAATTCTTTCCAGAAACTCGGAATTTTAATACTGCTAATTCAAACTTCTATGTACAAAGCTTTCTTTCGCACACAAAAAAAAAAAAAAAGAAAAAAAAAAGGGAAAAAAAAAAGGAGTTATCTCGTCACCCTTACAATTAGTGTTCCTGTAGTTTCGGGTAACACAATAGATACAGAAGGTGGTTTTGCAACAGTCATCATTTTGATAATGATGCTTGTAGTTCATGATGAAATCATCAGTTTTTAGATCTCTGCCATAACACATCCTATAAAATCATGAGAACTTGACTCTGAGAGTTTCTCACGCCTTCGGAATCAGCGAACATAATGGAACAAGCTGGTACAAGCCCTCCCGACTTATCTACCCAGCGAATCGCTGCGCTGGATAAAGTATCCACAACCTCCGTTTTCCACAGAAAGGCATAGATCCTTCCCCTACAAATCAATTACTCTCAGACACCTTTTGCCCCTGTGTGAATACGCTGGGGTGTCCGTGTTAACTCTGCGATCGGCAGGAGAACGGAGGTGTGTTTATCAGGCAGAGGATTCCATTACTCAGCCACTGCACTGCTCGTTTCTCTTAATTGAATTAGGAAGAGGAAGAAAATCAGTGTGGTTTGATCCTTCGAGAGAGATTGGCCACTTTTGAGGTATCCATTGAGACTGGGCAGTTGGGAAATGCCAGCCCAGTGAAGAGAGGGGTTGGTCAGTCTCACAAAGAGCCCAGTCAGCCACCCAGGAGCGACCTGTCCACCCACCCTGTGTCACCACAGCAGGAAATTCCCTCCTCGCTCTCCCCGACCGGCCCGACAGGCTCACCCCACATCCCGGGACCTGCCTCTTCCCATCCCACCCACCTCCACTCCTCTCGCAACAGCTCCACCTGGATTTCTACTTTCATCTTCTGAATGAATGTTCCTTTGGCTTTCAAAGGGAACTCCCCTGAGCCAGCAGCAGGGGCAGGTGACAGTGCTGCTGCTGCTGGAAATTAGGCCACTCGTGTGACTGTGTTTGGGTGCGAAGGGTTGCCAAGGTTCAGTGTCTGTGTGACCCAGGGCTGGCATCCAGCACTTTTATTTCATCTCTAAAAACCCACACACGCCATATGCAGTACGAGGGGCAATGAATGCAGTAAAGAGAACACGCTACTTTGTCTTTAGTTCCAATGTTCCACTACAGCTAATGTTCAACTTTGTGTTTCAGTTCCTGCACTACCAGTGGCAAAAGGGTTGTTTTCTGCCACCCTCTTCCCTGACACACCACGGGAGCTGGATGCTTCTCCTCAGCTGGGAAGAAGGATTCTAGAAACCTGAAAAACCGGAAACATCACGAGGCTAAAAGTGAGGAAAGCGAACCACAAGAAAGTTTTTATAAAGAACCACTACATTGACTCGTTTAAAGCAGAACAAAAAAATGAGTCTCCTCAAAGAACGCAAACCCAAGAAGCCTCATTACATCCCAAGACCACCAGGAAAGCCATTCAAGTACAAGTGCTTCCAGTGCCCCTTCACTTGCAATGAGAAATCCCATCTCTTTAACCACATGAAGTATGGTCTCTGCAAAAACTCCATCACCTTGGTGTCGGAGCAGGATCGCGTCATCAAGTGTCCAAAGAGCAGTTCCCTGGAGCCCAAACAGATCAATCAGCTTGAATCTAGTGTCAAACCAACTTCTTCTAAATCTGTCACAAATGGACTGTCAAGCCTCGATTCAAAGCCTCAATATCCTTTTGCAAAAGAAGATGCCAAGGAAAACGTTGAGTTACAAAACCAGGCAACAAATGCAGCAATTCAAGGACAAAAACCTGTGATTCCGAAGGAATTAAGCCCTGCCAACTCCACAGCAGAAAGTGCCATCAGTGTGCAGCCCCTGTTGGAGGGCATGGTGAGGCCCTCAGCCTTCGTTCCTGTCGGGGAACACCGAGACAGCAAAGGCCCAGAGATCAGTGAAGCCTCTGAAATTCTCTCTCTCTCTAACAAAAGTTCCCCCTTCCACACCAAGTCTGCGTTTCACGCACCAGCCCACCCATGGAAGGCTGGCTCTCCTTTCCTCCCAGACTTTCCACATAAAGTTGCTCCCACAAAAGGCTTTGGTTCCATTTCACCTTACATGCAACCAATGATTCCTGAGTACTCTCCCCATTTCTATGAGCACAGGTTGGCTATCTACACACCTTACCTGCTCCCAGGCAACTCGGAGTGTGAAAGTTCTGCTCTCTCTGTCTATGGAACACAAGATCAAAGACACTTTCTTCCCCACCCTGGGCCACTTCCAAAACCCATAAATCCATCAGCATACGAACACTATCGATTGTTCCAGCAATATCACTCCACTCCACCAATACCATATGGATTTTGTAGGCCAACAGATCCTCCATTTTACAGATTTTCACACGTAGCTGGAATTAACAGGGATCAAAACTCTCATCTGATGGAAGAAACTACCTTGCTGTACCCAGCTTCTCTAAGCCCTTCCCAACAATACCCTCTAAGTTCTCATAAAAAACAAGCAGAGTATGAAAAAGAAATTACATTACTGCATGCCAAAGGTAATCCAAAGGATGACCAAAATGAAAGGGAGAATGCCAAAATGAGCCCTCTGGCAGGAAGTGCAGCCACAGGCTCCCCTGGCAGACCCAGCCCCACCAACTTCACTCAGACCAGCCATGCGTGTGAGGGCTTATTCGACCTCTCTAACAAGTCATCCTCCACATCTCTGGGCAAGTATGATCAACCAGAAGAAAACTTCACAGCCTTCAGGCCCGTGAGAAAAAGCACCGACCAACCTACTCCACTTCAAGGTGTGCAGACACAGCAGGACAGAGGGGATTCACCAAGCAGGTAAAGTAGCATAAATCACTTGGAAATTCTTGTCAGGTTTGCCAGGACACAGAAACTTAGATGGGCACGTTTCATGCACTGTGACTTGAATACATTTAAACTGACAGCAGTGAGATAATACGTTCTACCCTCACTGAGCAGAGCACAGTACAGTTCACAGCTGCTACAGTGAGCAGAGCACTCATTGTCCTTAGGTGTACCAGGAATTTCCAAAGCTGTAAATATGTCTGTGTTTGTGTACTTCAGGGAATGTCCTGTAGGACAGCAATGTGTATGTGGTGAAAGGTACTTGAGGGAAGTCACAGGAGAAACAAAACTGTCAGACTTCTAGCCAGATTTTTGCCTCTCCCTGCCCATCTCCCCAGCCCCAGTTTAAAAGAGCAACTGATGGTGAATTCTCTTTTCTGTTCGTTTCTTGCAGCATTAATGTCACTGATGAAGACTCCCACACACAGACTGATGGGCAGAACAACACTGGCTCACTGCCCAGCACGGAAGAAGACACGGGGATAGCTCCCCTCAACCTGTCAAAGAAGGCTGACACAAGCACAGGACCTACTCACGAGCACGTGTACAAACCCACATCCAAAACAGAGAGGCAGAGCTTTCTAGACCTGCAGGACATGCCCCTAAACCTCTCAGTAAAGGATTCCTGTAACACAGGAAGCCTGAAAACATCCTTCCACAGCCCAGCTCGTGAGAACGGTGCTGCTGCTTCTCCGGCCGCAGACAGCGAGAGCTCCGGAGCCGAGGCAGGGAACCCCAAGAACCCCAGCAGCAGCTCCTGCGACAAATCCTTCCCAGCTCACCGCAACGAAGCCCAAGACCTGCGAATCATGGACAGCTGTGATGAGCAGAAGCAAACAGCAGCTGTAGCTCTCTGCCAGTTGGCTGCATACAGCCCCAGCACAGCTCGGCTGGACAGCGACGGGCAGGGCACGCAGGACAGTCACACTACAGACACAGAAGCCACTTGTAACTCTTCTGATACTCAGGATACTCAGTGCAATGCCAAAGTTAAAGGACAGAAAAGGACAAACCAAAAAGAGTCTGCAAAATCCCAGCAAGGCACTAAGAGAGTGAGGCCCAATGACTGCAGCAGAGTCTTCACTTTAAGGAAGAGAACAAGAGTGTCCTAATCCTTCCCTTCCCAACGAGTTTCTGGTTAGCAGCAGCACCATGAGATTTCTACAAACCATCTCTCACTGGACTTGGCCCATGACAAGACACACTAAATCTCTGCTGTGTAAATAATGTTCATAATTTTATATTAATATTTTTAAGCAACTGAACTTTGCCTTGTACAAGCTCAGGTTTTGACGAGTGACTTTTTGCATTCATTACTAAAGCCAAAGTACATTAGATGAATCTTTCAGGGGTTTTTGCAATTGTGTGGATGTAAAATAACTTCTACAACTTCTTTTCTTCAAAGATGTTTAAGCTCTAGAAACAACATTGCTCAATAACATTCTGTCTTAGTTTTTTTTCAGGCTTAACTTCATCTAATAGGATTTTTTTTGTGTTTTTTTCTCTTTGGAAATCTTTTTGTTTCACTGGGCAGTAGTTTAAATAAGCTTAAGATTAAACCTGGCTGTTTAGAATTTACTGTAAAAACTGCTTTGGGTATGAATGCACTTTGCCATTCTGCCATAAGACAGAACAGACCAAGTTCAGTTACTCAGGGGCAGATGCCACTTGAAGCAAACTGGCCCAAACCCTGTGTGAACGAGTTCTTGTCACAGTGACTGAGAACAAGAGTCAAACCAAACCTCAGACACCTTGCACAGGTTGAACAAATGCAGTTTATGTTCACCTTGAAGTGAATCACTATGCAAACAACACTGAAAACCTGAAGATCTACACAATTTAGGTGCCTCCTTCGCTGAGGATAGGCAGACACTGAGCAGCCTTCAAACTCCAGGCCTAGAAGGTTATTTATATAATTTATTTCACCTGAGGCAAACTGTCCTGGGGAAGGTTCTGTGTCAGTGTGTGTGTGTCACTCGCTGTCGGTTTGTGTGCTGCCACACACAGCCCAAACTAGTTCCTGCTTCTGCAACTCTGTATATAAACTGGTAATTTTTCAAATAAATGTCATGATCTGTACTTGAAATATATGGAAAGTCATTCGTGAACACAAATACATTCACTACACGATCTGTTACAGGTGTTTTGAGGAAAAATCAGCTAGAAATTGCCACTAAAATTTTCAACTGACAAAAAGGATTGGGCATGGAACAATAATCAACCCAAAAAGTCGCTTCTCTCAGTGAAGGAAATTCATTATGCATGTTAATTCATCCAGACTTTAGCTCCAAATAACCAAGTTCAGAATTCCCTCTGCCTTAAAGCTGCTCTCCAGCTGATCCAAACTGCTCCAGAAGTTTAAAACCAGGCTGTTCCCCTGTGTAAACAAACCCAGACCATTACTCAAACCCATGGGTACACATTTATCAGTGATCATTACTGAGAAAAGAGACATCCTCACCTGCCTGGCCATCACCACTAGCTGTGCAAACACACACAAGGAAGTGGAGCTGCATTCAACACAGTGCAGAACTCCCAGGAGTTCTTTCCTAATCTTTTGTGCTGTGATGCTTTGAGCCTCCAGCTCAGCCAGAGCATTGCCACAGGTTTAGCACTAAAGAAGAAATTACAGGGGTTCAGTTTCTGAGCTAAAACACTGATCTTTAATTTAATCTTTCAGAGAGAAAAGCTTTTCCCAGATTGTCTAAAGGTAACAATGTCAATCTGGGTGTGAACAGAGGGAATGTGGTAACAGAAGATGTTCAATTAACTCAAGTTACAACAGCAAGAGTACAATGGATCAAGTGTACATCAGTACCTGATCAAACAAGGAGAAAGAGCTGCTCTCCAGCCCAGGTTTAAAGCTCCAAGGTTAGGGACAGACACTATCAAATCCCCAGTTTCCAAAGAGGAAATCATGAAGTCCAGTGTCACAGCTGCTGGTTGTCACACCACATTATGCTATTTGCCTCTGCAAGCAGAAAGTTTCAAAGTTTCCCTTTTCCATCATTAAAAAAAAAAAAAAGTAAATCTCATGTTTCTCTTTTCTTGTTCATTTGAATTTCTTTAAGTGAACAAGAACATATGTTGATACAATTCCAGGATTTATTCTCCCCCATCTCCATACAAATATTAGTCATGAAAACAAGCTGCAGTGCTGAAGTCTCCCTTATCTCCCTTCCTCAGATTAAACACAGATCTAGGACATGAGGTTTCCTGATTCCCTGACAGAGGTGTGCAGGTTGGGTTTTATCAGCACTGAAGTGAAGACTTCCCTTCGGATGAGTTCCCATTCCTGACTCCCTAACTTTCAGCTGGGAGTTTTGTAACTGTTTCACCTTCATCATGCAAGGGCAACAGTAAGCAGAAAAGGGAAACCAACTGAAGGCTGATTGCACAAACCTCCTCACATGCAACACACACTGCAGTGGACATGAACTCTTCCCATGGAGACAGAATAATAAACTGCATTAAATGCCAAAGATGATCTGGCAACACAACTTACTAGTATGAAACAGCAGTTTTGAAACAGTTTTGAAAATTAGTGTTCCACTCCTCTGCTCCCAGGGGAGTGGGATCCAAAGAACCATCTAGAACAAGACATTGCTGCCAAATCACCCAAGAGTGGATGTATACTACCACACTGTGCTTTGTCATTCCACTGCATAAAAAATGGACAAAAATCACAGAGAGCTACTCCTTCCACAGTAAGATCTCTGTACCTCAGTGTATGTTGATAGAATCACAGAATTACAGAATCAACCAGGTTGGAAAAGACCTCCAAGAGCATCAAGTCCAACCCCAACATGGTTACTAGCCCATGGCACTAAGTGCCACATCCAGTCTCAGCCTGAAAACCTCCAGGGATGGTGAACCCACCACCTCCCTGGGCAGCACATTCCAATGCCTGAGCACTCTCTCTGTAAAAAATCTCTTCCTAATATCCAACCTAAACCTCTCCTGATAACTACAGAACAGACAAAGAAACAATTCCTCTGCCATGTTCTTTTTCTTTCCAACCTATTTCAAAACCTCATTAAAAACATAAACAGTTCATGCATAAAGTACATGAAACTGGTCTCTGAAACTTAACCAGAACCAAGAGCTACTGTCTTTAAAGTGCAAGTTAGTCATCAATTATTTAACAGACTATTTGAATAATGACACTGACACAGTATAGAGACAGTCAGAATTATTTTATACAACTGTGCAAAGAAACATGGGAGGGAGGAAGAAAGATGAAAACCCCAAGAAATTAATTCCATTTTGGAAAGAAATGTTTATTAAGCGCAAAAAAAGGCACACCCAAGCCAATGCTTTGGACAGAAGTACTTAAACATCCCCTTGGGCAAATCTTTTACTGCAGAATTCAGTCCTACAGCCATCACTGAGCACACTCACCTCAGCAAAGTCCAGTCTGCTGCCACACATTCAGTCTCTAGAACTATCAATTGTCATTTTTCAGGGGCTTACATTCAGCAGCTACAACTCACCATCTGGAATTCGGGATGGGAGCAGCAATCCCCTCCTGCCCAGCTCGGCCAGCGCCAGGCACCCGCCGTGCCACGCGTTGTCTGTCTCCTGGAAGCTGAGGTTAGAACAAAGAAATTGTGTCAGAATTGCCTTTCCCTTTGGGATTTCACTTCATGAACTCCTAGCATTGAGAAAGACCCCTGATCCAAACCACCACCTGCTAATTGTGTTAATGATCCTGTTGGACTTCTGAAATAGAAGAATGACACGTTGGACATGTTTCTTTCCTGTCTGTACAACATAAATGCTGCTATAAGTGTGAGCAAATATGCAAGAAACCCATTGTTACTACAAATGTAACCTCAGTACAGAAGAAGACAGTATCTGAAGCCCACCCAGAAAAGGAAAACAGCTTCCTAGTTCTCTGGCAGAGGACGCAGATTTACAGAACACACCTGAAATAACTAACGAAATTAGCACCAAGCACAGTCCTTAGCTACTACAAAGCTTCAAGTGAGAGTTCCCAGCAAACACATTACAGGAGCTTTGCAGTGAGCAGTGGTGTTTATCCACCTTTAGAAACATGAACCAGAGAACTTTGTAGGGAACACAGCAAAAATAACCAAACCCAAATGGTGGACAGTTTTTGGTGGGCTGGCAGACGAGTGGAAAGGGGAAAGGTTGGACACTGCAGGATTAAACGTGCACAAAGTTCATTTTGTGTTAAACCAGAAACAGGAATCTGAGAATAAAACACTGAACAGACAGGCTGGATCACATCAAAGCTTCATCTCTCCCAGCATCACCTCTGACATGGACCGAGAGCAGATGCTCAGCCAAAGGTGAAGCATGAAGGACCACTCAGTCCACCAGCAGCCTGGAGGCTGCTCCAGCCCGAGGCTGCAGCCAGATGCCCCATAGCTAACAACCTCTTCAAGTAATTTGTCTAATCCCTTTCCTGAACTCCCTTTACACTTCTGGCTCCCATAACATCCCATAGCAGTGACTTCCACAGGTTAATTACAACTGTGTGAAAATGTACTTCCTGATGCTTCCCTGCTCTGGCACCAGGAGCGAGTCGTCGCCAGCTGCTTTCCCTCCTCCTCTCACATGGATAATGGGCACACAGGAAATCACACCCCTCTGATTCTTCCCTCCACTTGTAAGAGGCCCCATCAGTTTCATCAGTGATTCAGTTTCGTTATCTCTGCCTTTCCTAGTAACATCCAATATTCCATGTGCCTGCTTCTCCCTGCCAGCTGCTGTGCTCTCTGCTGACACTGATCCGTGGCTTCCAGCTGTTTTACACCAGCATTTTGCCTCAAGTGCATCAGACACTGTATTTCATACTGCATTTACTGTCTCCTTACACAACCTGGGCTTCTATAACATTTGTCTTTGGTCACCTTTTGCTCTCACTACATCAGCTAACTTTAAATCATCACTTGACTTTCTCACCCCTTGATCCCTTTTTTTCCAGGATTTTGTATAGGTATGTTGAACAGCAACAGGGCTCACACCCCAGTGAGGCTGTGCTGATAATCCTGCTACACTGTCAAAAATGATCCTTAATTTCTTCCTTGACTCCTGTCTTTTAATCTAATTACAAATAATAAATCCTTTCCTCTTATCCCAAGTG